TCAAAAGTTACAGAGATTATAATAATTTTTTCAAGCCAGCTAAACTCTACTCTTTTCTCTCCAATTAAAAAAATCCTTAGTCATCAGCAAGGCATGTTCTGCTCTCCTGTAACTACATCCATCAATTACTCCCATGACTTCTTCCTGGCCAGATCTTAGATCATGTCATTGTTTCGACTAATGCTTTTGGAATATCTTCAAATCTTTTACCCTTGTGGCTTTTACTTCAGTGCCCTCTCCCAGTTCTCCATGTACATCTTGGATGTGTCTTCAAATCATTTCACAGGTATCTCCTCCCACTGGTGTAACTATTTAACATACTTTCCTTTGCAGCCAACCTCATCTTTCCTATCCTCCCCTCAATCTTCTATTCCCATCCGCTCACCACAGATGGCCATAATCATCCTTGAGTCTTAACTGCCTCTTAGTACACGCACCAGGAACATTTCCAAAAGCTGCCACATACCCCTTTTCATTATAATCTACAACCACTTCCAGCCATCAATCTTACCTGTGTTCTCATCTCATGTCCCATCAACCCTACCCTGAATATTTCTTCAGCCTTCCATCAAGTGTAATATCATGCATTTCCACATGTGCACATGTAGTCACTGTACAGGATCATTGTGCAGTGTGTAATTCAGAAAACCCCTCTTTCTTCTTCCCAAGAGGGATTACACTTACTGTAATAATTACACTTACTGTAATAAATGCAAAGGCACACCATCTCACAGAGGAGAGCCTGGGCTTTTCTTTTCCTGTTAGCATTTTTCAATTCAGAACTACACAGTTGCTAACCTAAGTTTCCCATGTGAGTTTAACTTCATAGTTTCCTTTTCTGTTACTTCCTCCACACTTATCTTGGTTATCTCAAAACCAGCCTGCAGGGTCTATGAGCAGTTAGTATTTTTACAACTACCTGCCTGGGGACTTCTGAGCGCTGCTACAGTACAGTAACTACACAACATGAAAGGCAGAAAGGCAGGTGCCAAATGCAACATCACCAGGGACATTTTTTGGACTGAGAGAGGTCCGAATAACTAGCAGAGCACTACTCCTTTGTAAACGATACTAAATTGCATTGTAAGCTAAATGCTTCACAAGGCAGATATAAATCTCACCATCATTTATGTTTTTGAAAAGTCACCCTATGTCACACAGATCGTCAGGACAAATTGGGCAATCCACAAATAATCAGCCAGCTATCCCATGAGAGAGTCTCAGACAAGTGACAAAAAGACTGTTCGGAGACAATTTGGGCCTCATGCACCACCAGGAAACTGCAATTTCACTCCAGGTGGACCTGGACTCCAGCTTATGTTCAAAGGACATCCTCAGATCTTGTTAAGCTCTTAACCACCATGAAAGAAGAAATTAATTCACCAGGGAACAATATTTTCCTTCTAAAAGTATTCATAAAAATATTTACTTTCAGGGTCTTTTCCCCTTAAAATATTCAGGTAATATTTCAGC